CCAGTTACTCTTAAGGCGAATACACAGGCTGGGGAAGGGGCTGGCTTGGCAGGCTGAGGGCTCTGATCCCAGTGGGGAGAACTTCCCTGCCCTGGGGCCTCCCTGGCGCCTGACCCTCCACCTGTACCCTGAGCACTGGCACAGAGACCCCCCCAGCCCCTGGCCTGCAGAGCCCCACTGCGGGCAGAGTGAAGCTGGGTCTCCATGTCCTCCTCCCGCCCCCCCCCCCCCCCCCCTCCTGCAGACCTGGGGGTTATTCACCTGTGCTGCACTATAAGAGACGACAGGTTGATTTCTGGGGGGGCTGTGAGGTGGGCAGGGGTCTCTGGTGCCCCCTATGGGGCTGCAGCCCTGCAGCTCATGGGGTTCCTCTGTGTGTGCCCCTCAGATCTCAGCAAGTCCATGGCGGCGCGGCAGAAACTGGAGGCACAGTTGACTGAGAACAACATTGTCAAGGAGGTGAGTTCACCTGCCCCCCAATTCTGTACTCTCCCTCCCCCCTCGGCTGCCCCTCACCTCCCCTTGTTCTGCTCCCCCACAGGAGCTGGGGCTGCTGGATGCGACCAACACCGTCTACAAGCTGATTGGCCCGGTGCTGGTGAAACAGGACATGGATGAGGCTAAAGCCACTGTCAGCAAGCGGCTGGACTACATTGCTGGGGAGATGTACGTGTGTGGGGGGAAGGGGGGGTTCCTGTGTGGGGGGCTGGCTCCCTGCCCCTCTAGCCCCCAGGCGGGGGCCCTGGCTGGCTCACAGGATGGGGAATGGGCCTTTCCCCAATCCAGCCCCACGGTGGGCAGAGGCCTGAGCTCTGGGCCCTCTTGTTTTCTGGGCTGGGGGGGAGGGTTCTAGGTCCGGCTCACTCTCCCCTTTCCCCTCACAGCAAGCGCTACGAGATGCAGATGCAGGAGTCTGAGAAGAAGGCAGAACAGCAGCGGGAGGTGCTGGCCCGGCTGCAGCAGGAGTATCAGCGAGCCCAGGGCAAGGGGGCCGCCAAGGCATGGGCCGGGGGGGGGGGGGGGGGGGGGGGCTGTATTTAAGTTTTTCACTGTTT